TTTTTTTTTTTTTTTTTTTTTTTGGCTAATATCAGACTGATACTGATATTCGGTCGGGACACCGTAGTTGGTAAATTCAGTCACAATGCAGAAATATAAAGTTTATTTGCAAGTGAAGCTGACAGAAAAGGTTTGTTTCTCATTTAATGTCAGAAGAATACAGTGAATTGTTTAAAAAATAAGATGATAATTTATTACTTGTACTTATTTTATTCAGGAAGTAAACTTTATTTTGTTAACGTGCAAAAAGAAAAAAGCATTTGTTTTTTTCCAGCCCTCAACAACTAATATTGTAATTGTTTTCAGGCAATATAATTTAACCTTTAACATGTTCTTAATCATTTTAATACTAGTTCATAACTCTTCCCGCCACTTTTACCTGCATGTATCATTTTATATCTGACACCTTGGATGTATTATGAGTGTTCAGAGATGAACCTAACTCAAAATGTAGAGCTTATCAAAAAGCTCCTCATTAGATAAAATTGCTCCATCTTCTTTTTCCAGGTTTTGCACGTAATCTCTCTGAAGGGACCGATGCCAATTACACTGAATACGTGGCTACTAGATGGTACCGCTCTCCAGAGCTCCTGCTCGGGTACGCCTGTCATCTTCTCAGCTTTGTTCAGCAGTCTGGTCACTACTACTGATACGCTGGCTTTTATTAGCGATTGTCATGCCCGGGCTTCATTACTAACCATTAAATCTACGGTGGCAGGGCTCCGTACGGGAAGGCGGTGGACATGTGGTCAGTGGGCTGCATCTTAGGAGAGCTGAGTGACGGGCAGCCCCTGTTCCCAGGGGAGAGCGAGATCGACCAGCTCTTCACCATCCAGAAAGTTCTGGGACCCCTGCCTCCGGAGCAGATGAAGCTCTTCTATAACAACGCTCGCTTCCACGGGCTGAGGGTAACATCAGGCCTCTCGCTTTCTCTTCCGTCAATCTGGACTTAATCTTCTCACTCCGACTCATTCTGCTTTCTCCTCCTCTCTTATTTATTTCCCTCCCTGCTGTGTCTCTACACTTTCTTCTTGTCCTTTTTTTTTTCTTTTCTGTGCCATGACTGATTGGATCACAATGACTCATGGTGTATCATGTATCCGTTATGCWCTGTGAAGGAAGGCTGTGATAAGTCTTCTGTGGCAGGCTGGTGGCACATCAGACCTAAGCTGTCCTTCCATTCCCTTTCCTGCCTACAGCWAAACATGAAATTATTACTGTCCAAACTCCAAAACCTATTTCCATTTTAAGAGCCACGTCGCCTCCATTCTTTTAATTTGAACATTTGTGCGAGGATCCTGGCTGGTTTTGTCTGAATTCCAGCTTTTAAATGCTGCTTTTCTGCACTGAAAATGTTCCTCTAGTGAGACAGGTATGTGTTGGACATTGAGTGGCAGCTATTATTAGGACTTGCTGAATGAAAAAAAAATCCCTACCTCCGCAAGATTTCTGTGCTTGTTGTCATTTAAATGTGTGGGCAGCCTGTAAACTTAAATGATTAGTGGACATTTGCTGTTAAAGCCGTACTTGCACAGTCAAATTATTTTTAACTGCACAACAAAAAACACGACAAAACGAAACAGAAATGGCGCAAACAAGCAAATTAAAATTCCTCCACAATGAAACGCAGGATGTTTGATGGTTGTTCAGTCACGCCGGCCACCTACAGTGTCCTCCCTCTAACACTGTGTGTGAGGCAAAAAGAACAGCATCGATGGGAGAAGCAGTCATCCTCATGACACCTTCTGTGYGAACTTTAAAAACCGTTTCAAACAACATTTGTGCACAGACATGGTACTTCAGATTGTCTGTCAGGGTAGAATTAAAAGTCCTGACAACAAAAGTAGATATTCCATATTTGTGTCAAACAGTTCACACACACACGCACGCACGCACGCACGCACACACACACTTGTTTTTATATCCTTGTGGGGCCTGTCCATTGACTTCCATTCATTTTTTGGTAATTTTATATCCTAAACCTGACCACAAACCCTACACTCTAAAAATGAAATGTTGGATTTACTTAACCATGTTATGTTACCTGGTTCCACTTAACTGAGTTGAGTAAATTCAAAGCAACACACTCATGTTCTTTGGCTAAAAAACTGGTATATTGCTTTGAATTTACTCAACTCAGTTAAGTGGAACCATAACATGGTTAAGTAAATCCAACATTTCATTTTTTACAGTGTAAAGCTAACCTCACAGGCACCTTCCTGACCCTAAGACTAACCTAAAATCAATTCACACCTCGGTCCTAAACCCAACCCCCACACCCAAAATCAGCCTCCAAACAAGGAGCACCCGGTCCCCACGAGGCTGCGATTTCTTTAAAACTGGGCCCCACGATGTAGGAGAAACAAGACCACACACACACACACACACACACACACAAAACTGCAGATAATTGTAGGGTAACTGGTGCACATTTCTGTTTGGTTTCTGTCACAAGTTTTATCTGTTTTCATGCCACTCATCTTTAAAAACGATTTGGACATATTGAGATGTRTTTAGACAAAAGTGTGCCTTAACTTTTGTTAGCTGTATGTCAAACTCAGTAAGACAGGACAAAATTCAAAACTTGGTCCAACCCAACAACCAATCACTGTCAATATTTATGAAAAAAATCRTATAACATATTATTCTTATAGAAATACAAATAACCTTTTCTAAATTATGTTTTATGTAGCATTTAGAACATGCAGAACTTAATGGTAGTGCTTTTCTTTTCTTTTCATCACAGCTCAGCTGACAATAAAATGTACAAACGTTGCTTATTCATTGGCAAACTATGGTCAACTGAAGTTAATCTCTTTAGGCTACAATTAAACTATTTGTTGRCTTTTGTTCTTTACTGTACCTCTGTCTGTGACGCTGTATCCCTCCTCTACATGTTTTTTGGGCTGAGCAAAGATCATTATCACTTCTTTTGTTTTGTGTTATTTAATAAAACTTAACAGGACCACTCAGCCTCTGTGCAGCCCCTGTACAAAACTACTTTCTCTGAATGTCTCCCAGACTTTTCACAAAAGAAGCACGTTTACATTACATCACTTGTTAAATCTATCCTTGCACGTCACTATAGAGCTGTATTCTACATAAACACGTAAATATTTTTTTCCCGCTCTCAGAGGAGCAAGACGCTTTTACCTTCTCTCCTGCCCTTCATTATCTTCCCTGCTTTTGCTGCTCGGAGCCTTCTCTGTGTTTTCATCCAAAACCAGAAATTATGGATATTTTTATTTTTATGGACTTGGTTAGCTGGTCTCTCAATAAATTTTTTGGAGCAAAGTTTTTTCTTCCATGGGAGGACATGTCAAAGGTGGGACCTCTGTTCTGCTCTGTTCTGGATATATATATTTGGATTCTGATCACTGGATTCTACCGATTGGCTTGGTGGTCTCTGGGTGTTCTACAAAACAGCATCGGTGGCTTTTCATTTCCTGGCTGTCTGACCATTATGAAGGATTGCTGTTCTATCAGTACTCAGACTTCTGCCTTGAGCGAGCTGGACTCGGCCTGAAAGTTGTTCTGCTGAGGGTCGCAGGCCGGCTGTGGTTCCTGGACTTTGCTGGTCATATGGAATTGATCTTGGAGAAAGCTGATGGTATGGCTCGGCGGGATTTGTCCACACTATTTGTCTGATTGGATTTGCCACCTTGAGATGTACCAGCAGACATTAAGGCTGATGGAAAATTGTTATTGTCTGCTTGGCTCTTCTGTTCCCAAAACAACTGATTACAGAATCTGGCTCTCTCCTACACGGCGTTGAGCTGTTGGACTAAATCTTTCTGGATGGTTACGTTGACTGAGGGGTCTGCCCCCCCCCCCACACACACACACACACACACACACACCCGTCTGTGATCTGGTTCCTGGAGCAAGCTGAGGGCCGCACAGAATGAACAGTTACCATCAATATTCTAAACTATAGCTGCGCGGGTTTTGTGGACTCGATCCTTCAGGCTCATTCTTCAGATATTCACACAAGTGCATACAACACTCATGGCTTCAGATACACGCCCCCCTAAACTCACTTACTCCTCTGGCTAATAAATGTGCTCTATGCAAAGGTTTTTTTTATAAACACCATAGTGTGTCACATTGTTGATATAATATGATGYTTTTCCCCCCTCATCTTCCCTTGTGTGGTTTTTAGTTTTTCTGTTAAGGGTTGTGCCTTGTCATGATGTCTTCATGAAAATGATCCTTGTTTTGTGCAGAGTCAGTGGGAGCATGACCCAGAGCACCTGTTCTCCTATGTTTGTTATGTTCTGTCTTCTTCTGAATGGGTGTTCTGAACTGTAATTTCATTGTGCTCTGTACAATAAAGACAATAAAGGTCTAATCTAATCTAATCTAACCTGATTAATCGCCACCCACCGCCAATTATTCAGAAGCTGCTCCAACAGTAACATTAGCTTGTTAATGCGTATAACGATGCTGCGAGGAAAAGTGTCCCACGTGAAACAGTTCACTGGCGGGCACAATGTAACATTTCGAATATGTTCTGGCTATTTAAACYGCTGAGTCTGTAGTCAGTAAATTCATATAACAAAAATTAATTTCTTAAAGATACATTATCACTATCTAGCAAATCAAAAAAAAGCTCACTAAAATATAATAGACTTTAAAATATGAAGACAATATAGAAAAAGATGATTAATTTGATTCTCTGATCTTTCCACAACAAAATCATAGAWTCCTGAAAAATCTTAACTCTATTTTCCAGCTGTCCTGAGAAAAACGCATTACTGTATATAGTGAGAAAAAGAGTAATCATAAAACTGCATTRCATTTAAAGTATTATCTTTGGGGCCAGATAAAACGCTAATGAGCAAAAATTATTTAGGAGAAAATTTCCTATAGAAGTCAATGGGGTTTTTGTAAAATGGGAACTTCTTCACATCAGAAACATTCAGAGTATTAACAGGCCTCTGCAAGTTGGATTTTGCATGACGGAACTGGCATTTTGATAGCTTTTTCCTTTTTTAATACAACACTTTAAGTTTGATAACTTTTTGGGTTTTTTTGACAGTTGATAATGTAACACAACTTTTGAACTGTTTAAAACTTTGAAATCTTTTGCAATTAAACTCTTCGTACTTTATTATTTCATCACAGATACAGATCAAAACATAGGCCCTTTTGTTTTCTTTCTGCCAGTGTGTCCCACTGCTGTCGGACTTCCATAGACTTTTGTTACATCTYAGCTTCCATTTTTCTTCTTCATTTGTTACATGTCTTAAACATAGTAGAAACATAAATGTTGAAATTTGTGACAACCAGACAGTTCTGCCACTTATGGTTTAAGACTTTTTGAAAAATGCCTTATCGTTTTATATGGCTTTTTATTGTTTTGCTTTTTGCTAAGTTTCCTTCTAGCTTAATTATTTTGCAATCAAGCAGTGTTTGGTTATCATAGCAATATTAGGAAGCTTTACTTTCTTTATGTTGGTTTTCTTTACTTGTCTTATGCAGTTTATGTATTAAAATGTCATATTTTTAGCTTTACAAATTAAAGGAAGCTAATGTTTGTTAGAATTTCGTCTAAGCTGCGTTGATACCCGTCACACTTTCTTCAGAGGTTTTCTAGTTACCCCCCTCTTCTATTCTTTACCAACAGAGAAAGTTTGCTGAGGTTGCTTTAAAATATAAGTGCTTATTCAGTTAGTGGTCACACAAAATGTCCTCACAGTACTGTTTTCTGCTAATGCTGTAGTTTCCTGCTGTAAACCACCCCCAGACCTTAGAGCGGAGGTATCTTGGGATCATCGGCGGAGGCCTGCTCGACCTGCTAAAGGTAAGGCTGGAAGAGAGTCCATGYTTTTGCTAAGATGTTTTTTTTCTTTCCTCTCTCGTTTGTCAGTTTCATTYAATTCCTGCTTAAAACACAATGAAGCACATAAATCTTCCAGTTTTCACAAACAAGCCAGGTATCCYTGTTGTGTTTACGTCGTGACTGCTGGATGCCTCTGCTCTGCTCCAGGATCTCTGGTTGGAACTCTGCTGTAATCACTGCGTCTGCACCGTAAACTGCAGTGCCGTGTCAAGAATGTGGGCTCTGCTTGTGCAGAAAATGACTCACCGTCAATACAGTGTCATCCCAACACTGACTTCACAGAAGACAAGCATCACTCTCCATAATAAGCAGAATTTCTTCAAATCAGCTCCAATGTTTATTTAACWTTACAGGCCTAGCATTCCTTAAAGGAGGTCATAATGACAAAGTTACAGCCATTTTGGGTAAACCTTGAAAATAATGCAGCATAGTGAGTTCTCGTGCTCACAGTATGTGTTGAAGGAGTCTCATAGCTACTATCACATTAAACTTTACCTCAGTATCTGTAATATGACTGACTTATMGTCATTTTGTGTTGGCTAATGCTAGCAGCGGCTGTCATCTTTAATTGGATAGACTCCAAAAGTTAATRTTATACAGTAGATGCACATTTAACAATAACTTTCTGAAACTTTAATTGAAGCCCATTCAGTGGTTAATGGGATCTTTTGCTAATCGACAAACGGAGTCGACTCCATAACATAAYGCTAAAAATTTAGCCTAAAATCCTGTGCAATGGAAAGAGCTTAGAGCATGTCTTCATGATGACACTCAGGTACTACTACACCAAATATCAATATCTACAGCCTACAGTTTACAGAGTTGTTAGTATTTTTGGTGTTTTCTAAGTTCTGCTGACCGTGACTGCTGTCATGGATAGGTTGCCTCCAAAAGATAATATGATGTATTTCTGGGTTGCAGTCATGTGACCCGGATGATGTGCAAAATTCAGATGGGGGGCAGAAAGGGATTTGCTCCTGTTCAAAACAGTGAAATGGATCACAGCGAGTACACTAATGCCCTAAATGGGCTGGCGCAGACGAGATATTGTGAAAAAATTGTGTWTATTTAGGATATGATCCATATTATCGTAATAAAAAAGACTTGTCAAATAAACTGCAGGATTTACCTGATGTCGAGGCGAATGACATAAACTATTGGTGCTGCGGACCTCGTATTATACGATGAGCCAGATGAAAGCTTTCAAAAGGCTCGAAGCTRCAATTATTTAGTTTCAGGTTGGGTCAAACATTTAGGATCCAATGAAGCTTTAAATGGCTGTCGACTAGTTTCTGCCCGGGTGAGGTGAGTTGTGCTATTTTAAATAATTAGCCTATGATAATAATGCTATCGCTAATGCTAACAACGAGTTAACCCCTGTTATTTCTATGTGCTTGGATCTACTTGTAAATAATTTATTTAGCTTCTGTAAACCCAAATATAAGTAACTACCCAGAAAAATATCTGAAAATATGATTAAACGATACAATCCTAATTCCTTACCTGTTAGAAAGTGGTCGCTGCAAACTCTTTCATTTTTGTCTGTTTCCACACCTCCTGTTTTTAGCCGTAGAGTGTTGTTTCACTTTTGTCCTATTTTTTTATGACACACTACTTTCGAAACACAAAAAATACTTTTATATTTCTCCGGATTTAGGCATTTTGACGCTGAATCAACAGAGAGAAACAGAGCTGCTTCCTGCYCCCCGTCTGCATTTTGTGAYGYCAATACTACGTCATCTGCAACCCAGCAGTAGGGCGAATCAAAAATCACAGGACATTTAATTTATGGCAACCTAATACCCCAGCAATTAGTGTGTGAGGGGAGCCTATCTGTGGAAAAACGTGCCCTTAAACAATATGGCGGCTCTCAAGATGGTGACCATGTTYTGGACATAACCTAAAAGATTAGCCCCCTCACCCATTACTGGCTGGGGTATTCAGATATGTCATTTTCTATTTTCTTTCAGAAATAAATGAGTGTCCTGTGTCTTTTGACTCACTCTGCAGCTGCACACCCATTGATTATTTCATAAAAGTGTCATGAAATTCCATCCAGTGAATAATGAGACATTTTACAAGTGACAGGCTTGATKCCAGTTGTTGTTGGCGAGGTTTTATACAAAGATTTTGTGTGATGAGGTCACGCTTGAGAATACATCTGAATGTTACTCAGTTTTTTWAAATAACAAATTTATAGCCATTTTGGGTGTTTTCAATGGTTGATTAGTTGTAGTGACCATCTTGAATTGGGTTGGCTTCAAAAGTTAATAAGTTGTAAATTGACATCCAATGATTTCTGAGAGTTTCATGAAAATCTCTACTCTGGTCCTTACAAACACACACAGGTACAGGGTAATTCATGGTTACCTGCCTTTTCCTTTCAGCATAAGGCACTCATAGTCCTGTTGATTCCAGTTGCATCGCTTGCAAAGAACTGTACTTATGCCTCCGTCTTTTTATAAGAAGTGAGAAAACTAGATGTCACCTTTAGTTCTGGTTAAACAAATCTGCACTCAGGTTTTTATGTGACTAATTTTTTTAACTCAACAAATTTTATTAAATTTTATGGAGACAAGTTATTCTTAAACTCGCATAGGAAAGAAGCTAATGTCACAAATCACTTGACTGTAGGACATCCTTACATGCAGCAGCAGCCTGACTTTCATGGTAATGAAGATGACTCATGGCATCGTGACTGTTACAGCTTGTTTGTGAAGCCCTGAATGGTCTAGCTCTCTGAAGGACTCACAGTGTACCCCTCTCTGTTCCTGCGTTAGAACCTGCTGCTGCTGAACCCCACAGAGCGCTTTCTCACAGAGCAGTGCCTGAACCATCACGCCTTCCAGACCCTGCGACTGGTGGAACGGCCCAGCCCGCCCACACCCACACCCGTACGCTCCTCTAAGAGAAAACCTCACCATGGAGACAACACCACTCCCAGCAGGTGAGAAGGGAGCAATATAAAACATAAAATGTAAGAACATTTGTGTTTAGTTGATTATCTTATATATGTTCTCCTGGAAAAGTCTGTTTGTTAAATGTTGTTACATGTGWGCGGAAAATGGATTGTACCCATGAAAAAGCTGACCAAATCCCTGCCAATGCCAAACAGCTTATTCTGGTCTTTCCCCTTGTTTTGCACTTCTCATACTATTTTGCTGTATGAGGGCCAAAATTAAGACTATTGCACAATCAGTGGTTGCTACATCCTTGTAGTAGGAAGCTATATCTATTCCTAAGCCAGCTGTGGATCTGATTAATAATAGGGGGGCACCGGTAACTGAGCAGCTGGTCCCGTGAACTGAGAGGCAGATGCTGGCAAATGAGAAGGAGACAATTCATTTGTGTTAGCATTGAAGTGGCTAGCAACTAGCATGGTCTATAAAGTACTTGAAAAAAATGACTAAGTAAAAGTAAAATTACCTTAACAGAAGATGACTTTGGTAAAAATAAATTTAACTGATGAGAAAAATACTTAAGTAAAAGTCATAAAACTGTTCATAAAAATTGGGAAAGTAAAAGTACTTTTACACACTCTAAAAAAATAAAGTGTAGAATTTACTGAACCCCTTAACAGTCTTTGTTCCACTGGTGGGCAAAAATGGTTCAATTTCTGCCTTTAAACATTTCCAGACGGTATCGGGGGCTTTATTTTGAGGACKAGGGTGTCAGACAACTTCCTCTGGTTCTTACCTTTAGTTTGGCACCCTTAAAAAATGGCCGAAGGCTTTTAAGGAATTTCAGGGGTGTTTGTTAAGGCAATGTTTCCCAACCAGGGGTACGTGTACCCCTTGGGGTACGCAAGCATATTACAGGGGGGTATGTGGAAAATTTTCCCAGGTGTGTAAAAAAATTAATAAAAATAGGACTGGGATATGTAGGGCCCTATGATTTCCACAATGCGGAAAATGCAACGGAATCACGAAGTTGACACAAAATGAAATCCAGTATAAAATGCGGAATTTCACGGAATTTGCTCATTTGGGTGAGTTTCTGCTGTATTTTGGACGCTGTTGTTTTCTGCACCTGAATTTACCTAGTTTATTTATATAATTATGCACTTTGTTTAATTTGAGTTCAAAAGAATAAAATGACAGAGAATTAAACGTKTTAGGGGGTTAAATAAATAATTTTAATTCAATAATCAGTTGTTGTACATTATAGTTTTGAAGAATCGTCGTTAGGTTTGACTGAAGGGGTACCAGTGGTATGACAAAATGACTCGGGGTACACAAGTCTAAAAAGGTTGGGAACCACTGTGTTAAAGGGTTAACCAAACTGGTTCCACTAAAACAAGTGGAGAAAATATTCCTGCCTCAAATTTACACTACTAGGTTTAGTGAAACCAGCTGACATGACTTGGTTGAATAAATTCAACACTTCATTTTTTAGAGCAAAAACAACTCCTTTCATGATGAGTTTAGACAGATTTTATTTTGTAACAAGTAGGTGTTAAAATTTAAAGTAAAGAAGTAAAAGTATCCATTTCAGGTTTCAAATGTAATGAAATAAAAGTAAAAGTAATGGTTTAAAAAATACTTGGTAAAATTACAAATCCTCAAAAAAAATTACTTAAGTACTGTCACAAAGTAAATGTACTCAGTTACTACAAACCTCTGCTAGCATTTAGCATGCCTAGGCTGCTCACCTGCTTTATTAGAAAAGAACATTTTTGAATAAAGAAAACTTTTTCAACAAAAATGGTTGACATTCAAAATCTATCTATAAGTGACATGCACTGACAGGTGTTCCTTAGACAGAATTTACTGTTCAACATGACGTCAAGCATAAATATTAAACTCAAAACATATTCTCTCAGTTRGCGGTGCTGGCCTATCATTAATCAGATCAATAGCTGGTTTAGAAATAGATATAACCTCCYGCTACACGGATGTAGCAACTGCTGGTCGAGCAATAGTCTTAATTTTTGTCCTCATACTGTGTCGTTCATCTAGAGCTCACAGGYTGTCACACCAACTATGTTATAATTTATTGCACCATACAGGAAAGTTTATTTACAGGATGTTGATGATGTCTTTTGGGTTTGACCAGGAGCCATGTGGGGAAGAGCTCAGGAAGCCACCGTTCCAGCAGCAGAGAGTGCTCCAGTTTACCCAGACAGGAGGACATCCACCTCGGCAACGACAGCTTCCTGAACGGCAACATGTCTGCAGTCATGAACCTCAGCCCCACGCTGCATCCCAAGAGCTACCAGCCGCAGATCTTTAACCACTCCACTGCCTACAGCATGGACCTAGCCAGCAGCAACCTGCCTCATCTGCTCAGTACCGGTGAGGCCAAGGGCAAGGGCGATTTTGAGATGAACTTGAGCTCCAAGGTGTTGGACGGTCCCGGAGCCAAGTACCTCAAGTCCAACTTCCGCTCCCAGCAGAACCGCCACTCTTTTGTTGAAGGGAAGAACAACACGCTTCAGTCGGGGGAGAAACACGGCCGGCACAGCCACATGGATTCGTACAATTCTGCTCCCTCCTCCTCTAAGTTCGCCTACCTGAACTTGTCTAAGAGCTACGGCACGCTCAGCGATGCCAAGTCTGTGGGGAACCTGAACGACGTGCACCTGTACGCAGACGAGCCAACGTCTCGCTACTTTCCCTCCAGCTGCCTCGACCTCACAGCTCCGAGCAGCCCGGCGTCCCGCAGAGTGGATAGACTGGGGCTCGGCATGGGAGGTCGAGGAAACATGCGCTCGGAAAGAGAGAGCAACACCCTGGACTCCTCCTACAGGCGCGCCTCCAACCGCCACAAGACCTCAGAAGAGGCCAAGTCCCCGGATGCTCTGGACCCTGGGGACGGCAGCACCGAAAGGAGCCACTCTCACTCTCTGTCCACCCCGCGGGACCCTCTTTCTTACGGGCAGGGATACACCAGTCCCTTTTCCTCCCAGCAGCGGCCGCACCGTCACTCCATGTACGTAAGGAGGGATCACCAAAGGACGCACGGGACGGACGAGGGTCTGTCCGTCGGACAGGGCTTGTCCACCAGAGCCAGCAGCCTYCAGCTCCTGTCCCCGCAGCTGCAGCACCGCACTCTGCCACGGCTCTCTGGGAGCTCCTCCAGAGAGGATGACATGAGCAGGGTCAGTGATCAACTCACAACAAACCTCTCCTAACCTAAGGAAAGCCTAAACTATGGGATAAATCTTGGGCCAGCAGGAATTGAATTTGAATTGCTCAGATTGAATCTGTATGTGCATAATTTGAAATTGAATGCATTRRTTTGRAAATAAATTTCACTAAATTGAAACTGAATTTAATGATTTGAAACTGAATTTAAAGTTTTGAATTTGAATTAATTTGTTTTGAAACTGAATTTTGGTTTATTAAAAATTCAGTTTGACTACTTTCACTTTCAGTTCCAAAATTCAGATTTTTGTGTCACACATCCTGGTCCTTGAGAAAGCCAGGCAGAGTAATCAAACACAGATCCATAAATTTATGTTTCACTTTAATGAAGTTTCCCTTCTGTATGTAACAGAGTTGATGCAGTCCACCGTAAAAGTGACAAAAACAGATTAATTTTACCTATAGAAAATGTTACATTTACATCACATCATGGATCAGTCAGCAGCAGCATCTGATCAATATGTGATCCACGATGTGATGTAAATGTAACATTTTCAAGGTATAGGTAAACCACTGTAATAAAATACATTTGTCTGTTTTTTTTTTCACTTTTTTGTGTAAATGTAACATTTTCTATAGGTAAAATTAATCTGTTTTTGTCACTTTTACGGTGGATTGCATCAACTCTGTTACATACAGAAGAGAAACCTCACTAAAGTGAAACATAAATCTGTGCATCTGTGTTTGATTACTCTGGCTGGCTTTCTCAAGGACTAGGATGTGTGACACAAAAATCTGAATTTTGGAACTGAAATTGAAAATAGTCAAACTGAATTTTTAATAAATGAAACTACGGTTTCAAAGCAAATTAATTCAAATCATTAAATTCAGTTTCGATTTTGTGAAATTTATTTTCAAACCAATGCATTCAATTTCAAATTATGCACATACAGATTCAATCTGAGCGATTCAAATTCAATTCCTGCTGGCACAAGACTTATCCCATACATATCTAATCATATCAAATGCCTACCCCAGGTTGTGTTGGATAACTCTGCCTCTGTATCAGTTTGTCCAACAATGCAGCCAGAAATTATTCTTGTTTCATCTGAAAATAGCATGATCTGTGCTCAGAATTCCACTTGCATCTGTGTCCCACTTTATTGCAAAGGCAGAAATATCATCAGCATGTTGGCTGTCTTGTTAGGATGTGGGCTAAAGCATGCTATCTGTGTCTTTAATGAACTCTTTCCTTGTACATATAGCACATATCTTCATGCTTCATCATGTCTCCATTAACAGAGCAAGCAGCTCCCCACAGCAGACCTCCAATAAGGAACTCCACAAGACACTACATCGCATCTTTTCACACACAGCCATAAGAAAAAAAAGCGAGGTCCGACATTGTGCCTGCACCCACCATTCCCCCGCCCACATCCAGCCTTCCGAGAGAGCGGATGTGGGTGGTTACTGCTGTCATGAACTGCTCTCYGTCTCTTTTCTCCAGATGCCTCTTTATTTTCTCTGTGCGCTGTGCTTCCATGTAACGTGACGTTTTATGATAGCACGGTCAAGCATCGTCATTACTGCAGGTTTCAGGTTGATTCTGGTAAAGGTGTTTTATTGTTACATTTAAGTCAAAACGCTCCCGAGCTTTTCCTGTTCTGTCAGGTAAATAAGAGGTATGATTTTAGACCGAGAAGCATGCAAAGCATTGAGCCTCCTAGGTTTTTATTTTTTTATGATAAGTTGTTTTGTTGTGACTCAGGTTGGCTTATATCATGACCAGCAACCAGAAGAGGGAGGATCCTCCAAAGAAAACCGCAATATCTACAGTGAATCCATGCCAAGGCGGGTGGGCAGCTTCTACAGAGGTTTGTTTAGTCAGGATGGAAATCTCTGGCTGCATCTTTCTATCACTGCACTGGAGGTCCAGAACATACTTCAAGTCTGGATTAGTATTAGTATAGTATATAAGTTTATTTCAAAGGGGAAATAATTTCAAGGGACTACATCATTAAAAATCCACTCTTTATGCTGTTAAATACATTTTGTCGTGGACTTTGAGTCTCTAGGAGGCAGAGATTTATTTTAGTCTATCCTGGTGCTGCAAAGATTATATTCTGTTTGGGTCAGATTTTTCAACCTGTTCAGTTTTCTCTATTTTCTATGACATTTTCTGAATTATTACGTCAAATTATCTGTGACAAATGCCCATATAAGGTCTGGGCATACCAACTTCAATTTCCTCRTCTTAATTCTCCTCTAGTACTGGATCAGACTCTGGTTCTGGGTCAGACTCTGGATCCAACATGTAAGGCTGGCTGTTGTTCACATCTTTAAATTCATTTAAAAATAAAATGTTTTTGCTGCAGGGAAAGGTGCTTAAGGTGAGTTAAGCTTTTCCCACATCTCTCATTCACAAGGTTATGAGGAAACTTTTACCAAGCTAAAAGTTACTCATTACTTGTTAATATCTTGACTGTGCGAAGTGAAAAGTGASACAATAAGTGAATGCTCAGACGAGTTCAAGTTGATTCATAAAGACTACGCAATCGTTTATTTACACAAATTGAACAGATCATAAGTTACACTTGATTGTGGTTATTCCTATAACAAGCGTCAGAGTTAAATGAGATAAAACCCGAGTCCGAATTTCAATTCACATCAACTCAGATTAGTTATATAGAACAGTAAAACGTCAGTTCTGATGTTAACAACCAAACAATTTTACTGGCGCTTTTAGCTTAAGTTTTGGCAAATTAAGAACAAGGAAAGGAGGAAAGTAAGATTAGTATGTTACTACGACTTTTACTTTTATCCAAGTGTGGGTCAACCGGAACTGCACATCTTTTCTGGGCTCAGGTTCCAGATGACACGTCACTCCAAACACATCAGCTTTTACCTGGTGACTTAAAACACCCTCGGGGTAGGAGCTGGCTCGCCTCCGATCAGTCAGGGAACTGATGTCGGCTCGCTTACCGGTCATTGGCGAACAGGTGTTTTTCCAGGTGACTTTGTGTTTGCTTCAGTCCAAGCCAGAAAAATACAAGCCGTATCCGGTTCCTCCTTCCAAAATAAAATCTCCCCTCGGGAGTTAAAAACATACTTAGAGGCTTGGCCTCCGGTTGGAACCACCGACGAGTGTGCCGGGTCCCTGGATGTGAAATCCTCCCTAATGAGCTCATGGGATAAGATTTTCAGCCAAAGCTGAGGTTTCTCCGGAGAGAATCCCAGCTGTCTTCCTAGGTTGGAATCAGGAAGAAGAGTGTGTTGCTCAAAGCCGTCCGGGTTAGTAAGTAATAAAGGACGAACTTTGGTTCTGCCGTCAGGCTTAGAGATGAGTCAGAGAAAGAAAGATAAAGATTTGCCAGCCAGCGCCAGCCCAAGGTTAAAATTCTGTGGTTCAACAACATGATATGATAACCTCTTTTCTGCTTTCTTCTGACAGACTTAGAAATCACTGCAAAACTTTTATGATGATTAATTAAC